ACGACAACGACAGCGACAACGACAACGACGACAACAACGACAACAACGACAACAACCACAACAACCACAACGACAACAACAACAACAACAACAACAACAACAACAACAACAACAACAACAACGGCAACGGCAACGGCAACGGCAACGGCAACAGCAACAGCAACAGCAACAGCAACAGCAACAGCAAACAACAACAACAACAACAACAACCAAAAACAAAAACAACACAACAAGGTCCAAAGATGTCAACCCCAGCTATGTCTATAGCATCGGTGGGCCTGGCACATCTAAAACAAACTGCTGCGGAACTTCGACCCAGACTTATGCACAAAAAGGCTGAAATACGGCACAAAGACGACCAGTGCTGATGGCACCTTGACATGGCATGCTGCAGTCGCAGGCTACTATTGAAGATCTCGGGACTCCAGTCCTGTGTCACTGCTTCGGACACGCATACATTGCCTCACAACGGACTCGAAGCTACAGTTTATGTTCAAGCCCACGACTCTGAATTTCAAAACCAAGCACGGCCAGACGAGAACTCAGCATGATCGCAGTAAAACATGAACTACGTGCTTTTGCTTGTGTGTCTATGCATGTGTCTGTTTGTCTGCCTGTCTGTCAGTCTGCCTGCCTGTCTGTCTGCCTGTCTGCCTTTCTACTGGGACCTTCTCAGAATCCGTGTTACAAGGATGCTGCAGAGCTCCAACCAGCCTATGGTGCCCCAAAGCCAATGGCCAGCCATGACCTTCAGCATCTTGCTTTCCTCAGGTTGAGGGTTCAGGCTTAAGCATTTCGGGTTCCCGCTGCACTACAATAGACTTGGGGTTCGCGCTGCTCGAGATCGGAAGCAAGGGTATAGGCGGTCTGCAACAAGGCACTTGCAGCCCTTAGACCCAGCCGGAAGTCCGGCACCTGTCCCAGACTCTGAACCCTGCTTAGGGCTTAAGGTTTAAGTTTTAGAGTGTAAGGTTTAGGGTCATGAAACCCCAGCCCTGCCCAACAAATCACCAAAACAGACTACACCATCCGAACATCTGCATCAACCGAACGCCCTAAATCCTACATCCAAGGCTAAACTCCGAGACAACCACAGCTAGCACTATATGCTACAAGACTCTACAGCGAAAACAGATCCTCCGAAACCCTTCGAAACACGTCGACATCTTAGTTACTTCATTCCTAGAGCCCCCCCCACTCTGAACCCCGAATTGCCCTCAACCCTAAAATTACCCCAAGCCCGGAACCCTGAAGCACACACTCTCAACACTATAACCTACTTTCCAAGCCCTGTGACACAAACCCTACCGAACCCCATGACTCCCGGAATCCCTGCTAGAACCCTTACACTAACCCGTATAGCACCTTACAGGAACCATTGATGCAACCCTTATAAGAAAACCCTCATAAACTTATATATAGAACCTTGAAGGAACCTTTAAAGGAGCCCTTGAAGGAACCGTCAAGGGAACCCTGACTGAAACTCCGCACTCTTCGGACCCAGCAGCCGAATTGGCCACCAGCAACACCGAGGCGCCAAGCGGCACCCAGCCCAAGGCCAACATGAGCCGGGCCTCAGAAGGGTCTAGGGTCTTCGGGTTTAGGGTTTAGGGTGTGGGAATCTAGGATTTAGGGTTTGCAGGGTTTAGGGTTTGGGGAACTAGGATTTAGGGTTTAGGGTTTTTGAGGCTCTTTTTCCACAGCAGATTCTGTAGAGAGCACCCAAAGAGAAATGGGTCTAGGGTTCAGAGCCTAGGTTTTCTACAAGGGATAATTTAAAGGTACAAGGGGATTCTTTGGGTTTAACTAGGGTTTGGGGTTCAGGGTTTAATTAGGGTTCAGGGTTTAAGGTTAAGGATCTAAAGCTTTGCAAGTCCAGGAACCGACGATGTGCAAGGCAGCTTTAAATTTACATCGGCATGTGTAAGTATCACCCGTCCCTCCCAGTGCCTATCCCTTCGAGTCCTTCTTCTCTCCGGGTAGTCTCGCCCGCAAACATCATGCTGTCACGAATTGTCAAACACTGCGGGCTTGTTAAAACATGTTCTCACAAAGACTTCCCGCAGTCCTCCGACAGAGGGCTCCCACCCCACACCAATCCCCACAGGCTCCTCGCAGTCTTTCACCCACTATTGCCAGGGCTGCGGTATCTTCGGTGTTTCGCCCGTGGAGACCGGGCGGGGAATCTAGAGTGTCGGATTTGGGGTGGTCGAGGTTACACGGCACTGAGGGTGACAATTCTAGTTTCTGGTAGAGGGCTGCAGGGTTGAACAAGTTTCAGATCCTCCAGCAAGATCGCTGCAGCATAATTTCCTTCATATTCGGTCCTTGCTTTATTGAAAATAGTGCTACTGCTTGGAGCTACTACAGCTATGGGCCAGCCATGCTACTCATCTTAAGCTTATCATCATTGTGATATAGGGGCCTCAGTTACTTCTAATACTATTCTCGGGGTTCCTTACTCAAACTATAGTATAATACACCCCAGCACCGTATTCTAATTACTCAGGCGAATAAAACTGCTCATCGTTTTTGCATCGGCCTGCATGTCGATAGCACGCTTGCGACCGTCGAGCTGCACAGTGGCCACCTCTGACGACTAAGATACGGCAGGAGGGTTTGGGGTTCTATAAGGGATCTATAATCTATAAGGGTTCTACACGGGCTTAGGGTGTTGTGGATCAGGGTTTAGGGATTTAGGGTTCCGGGTTGTAAGGGTTCGGGGTTTCGGGGACATATGTTAAGTTGCTCGAGTTTTACTGCATTCGCAAGTTAGCTGGAAATTCGGACTGCGTAGGCTAAAGAGGTAAGCGGTCGGCTAAGTACTTTGTGCTTTCTTGATGACAACTGTGACGATGAGTGCGAAAGAAACAAGCCAAACAGACGGCGTCGGAGCGCGATCCTCGCTGAGCGGCAACGGCATCAGGTTTCGGCTTTTGGGGCTTGGGGGGGTGTCTAATGAAGAGGCTTTAGGGTTAGCCATTAATAGTATTCTGGTTGTGGCTTTCGTTTCTTATCCTTGCGGCTGTGACGACGAGCAGTCTCATAGCTCTCATGGTCAAAGTGAATACTGGTCGAAAACAAAATCAGTCCACTTGGTTATTGCTACCACTGTTCCAACACGAAGACTTCTTAAACGCAAATCATCCCCTAACACAGGTCACGACGTTTCACCCACGAGCAACGGTCTAGGCTTTAACCCTAAACCCTGGGGTTTGGGGTTAGGAATTTAGGATTTAGGGTCAGAGGCTTAGTTTAAGGTTTAAACCTTGAGGGGTTAGGGCTTAGGGCCAACAAAGCTGTAGCGCCTCATCCTGGCTCGATACGAGCCAGTCGCATTGCACTGTAAGTACCTGGCAGAGGCGTTGCAGTTCAGTACGGTTTCGGCTTTAGGTCCATGCAACTAGCACCCGTGGGTACTGCCCGATCGGGCGCAGCTGAATACTTCGGAGCAAGGAATTTGCCTTCTTGAACCCAGTATCTGATTACTTTCATTCAATCATTCGTTCATCTACCTCTGCCTGCAAGTTCACAACCAACACCCCGGCACGCAGCAGGCAGGAGTTTTCGGGAATTCAAGCCCTTTAAGACGTGCTGGGAAGGCTAAAGATTATACACAAATCCGCGACGCAACGCCCATTTCGCATTTACGAAGACCTCGCACGCTTTCCGCTTGTTTGTTAAAGACCCTCTGGTCCAATATAGGGGCTTTAATAATTAGAATAGGGTTTTCGGCAGATTCTACTATAACTATAGTAAGGAACCCCCAAAATAGTATTGGTAATTATTCAATCCCCTATGTCGACCCGCCCTGGCCCCCCAAACCCGCTCTGCACAAATCCGCAACCTGAAGCCTTGGTCGCAAAACCTTCAACTCCAATCCCTGCGTATGGTCTCCATGGTTACCTTATAGGATCCTAGATATAAAGCGGGTTAAACCAGAAACACTAACTACAATGGAGACGATTGGTAAACCTGAAGACCAAAAACTTCGACCCTAAACTCCAAAACCCTAGCGTTTGGATCTTGCTTCCGTAGAATGAACGGTAGACCCTAGGCTGAGAAAGAAGCAAAATGGAGACATGGCAAAATGCGAGAAAGCTGCAGTGCTTTGATCTGCAAAGGCACAGAAAAAGGTAAAATATTGGCACAGAAAACGCAATCCTGGTAGCTGTGTTGGTTTCACGCTCTAGCCCAAAAGGCCTAAATTCAGGACTTGAAAAATAATATGCTTCTAAAAAGTGTTGGAAAGCAAAAGGCTCGAATGAAACAAATTTGAACCGATCACTCACCAAAAGAAAAAGCAAAGGCCTGCTTTCAGGTTCTCTAAGGACCCAACAGGCTCCAACCCCAAAGCCTTATAGGTTCATGGGTAGTTATACATGGGGTTATAAGTAGGGTAATTATACTTACAACCCATATTAGGGGACTTATAACCACACCTATAATTATAACCCATAGTAGGGGACTTATAACCACACCTATACTTATAACCCATAGTAGGGGACTTATAACCAGCCCTATAACCCATAGTAGGGGACTTAT